GTGTGTGTGTGTGTGTGTGTGTGTGTGTGTGTGTGTGTGTGTGTGTGTGAGTGTGTGTGTGTGTGTTCGCGCGCGCGCGCGCGTGTATTTTAACTTTAATGATTATTTCAGCACAATTGTAATATACTCAATAAACATAGATACTGATAAATTTTATTTCTCTACTTATTTTGTAGAGAGATTTGGAGTGCGTAGAAAAGATTCATGCAAAATCCTATGAAGCTTTTGAGCTTTGTGCAAACCAAATCCAGGACACAAAGCCAGAGTATTAGGGTGTGCTCTTACAATGTCAGCTAATGTATCAAAAGTTGTTAAAAGAGTTGTTGCATCGGTTTTGTTGATAGATTTCACTGTTGTTAAAGCGTTAATTAACTGTAATAAATATTTATTATATAAATATTTATTTCTCTTTGTTATTAAAATATCTATATCTTATATTGGGTGCTTTCCATTTACTGACACAAGTCGACACAAGTGTTGTTCTGTCTTTGTTACTCATTGAATGCAAAGAAGGATAGAACGATGTTTGTGTCGATTTGTGTCAATAAATGAAAAGCACCCTTTTTATACAGAATGCCCCATTTTAATCTTTCTATGCAATTATTTCCTGAATTATTCGTTGGTCGAAAAAAAAGATTTTAAACAGAACTTACTCTGTTTCGAAGAAGACATCTTATTATGGACGCAAGTCTTGTCTAGGTGGAGATGCTTCCAAGATTTCAAGGTAACTTTTGTTTTTTTAAATAAAAATATATATTTTTGTTTAGCTGGATCTATATGCCATTCCGAGACGAATTCATTGACCTGTGATATATTGGTCTTTCAAGGTTATTTAAAGTCATTTACCATTAAAAAAAAATTTTCTTTCAAATAAACTTTAAAACGTTCTGGAAGAAGTTCTATTTGCCACCAGAGTATGGACGATGTGGTTCCAGCATGATGGTACTCCTGCTCATAATGATCGTAAAGTTCGACAAATGCTAAACAGCGTATTTCTTATTGTTAGATAGAAAAAGGAAGAAAAGGAAATTTATTTGAAAAAAAAATCGTTTTTTTTAATACAATGGTAAATAACTGAATAACCTTAAAAGAGACCAAAATATCATAGGTCAATAAATTTGTCTCGAAGTGGGCTATATACTCCTAGCTAAACATAAATATATAGTTACATTTAAAAAAACAAGGTTACCTTAAAATCACCTAAAAGATTAAAATGGAACAGCCTTTATATACACGGTGCGGAAAAACTAGAAGTATAACCTAGATAGCAAAGCGTGTCTGAGCAAAATCGCGCAAACCTGTGATTGCTTATGATGCTGACAACTTGCCGTACATTTGCTTCAATTTGATTTCGAGTAATTTAATATTTGAAGTAACACACAGGCAACATTGGATATATGTATTGCCAGCAATTTGTCGGCAAGAGAGCAGCATCAAATTTACTTCGCGTTGCTAACAATATGACAGGATTATGTAATCCTATTAATTATTACAGCAACATGACAGCAACACAGCTCGAATTTTGAATCAGACGATTTTAGATCGCAGCATAAATTGCCAACAGGTTGCAGGCAAGTTGCTATACAAAACTGTCCCAGATAGCCAAACCTGAGCAGCAGATTCCAAGCAGAGTCTGCATTAAATTTTTGGTATCAAAAAGGCAACAAATTGCACGCGGAAACTGCTCTATCAGATGATGTTGTCAAACTGTAGCCAGAAATGCGACAGAGCCTGCTGACAGGCAATATGAGCAGATTGGCAGCAGAAACCGCGCAGAGTCTGCACACATACTTGGCAGCAGATTCCCAGATAGCCAAACCTGAGCAGCAGATTCCAAGCAAAGTCTGCATTAAATTTTTGGTATCAGAAAGGCAACAAATTGCACGCGGAAATTGCTCTATCAGTTAGATGATGTTGTCAAACTGTAGCCAGAAATGCGACAGAGCCTGCTGACAGGCAATATGAGCAGATTGGCAGCAAAAACCGAACAGATCCTTTCCGTGATAGTTTGCAACAACGCTACTAAACGGCGCATAATGGTAAGACTAACTCGTAAGTAAATTTCAGTTGAGGGCTAATATAAGCAGGCCTCCTGCAAAGCAAAATCATAACATCCACGAGACATACCTTTGTCAGCAATACAACGCAAGGCTCAACCAAAATTGCTGCAATGATATAGATATGCAAAATAATATTTTCTAAAGTAAGATGTAAAGTATATTGTGTGTAATGTATATTTTTTAAATATTAAAAAAATCTTTCAAACGAAACAATTATTGCTTTGGGTTAAACATATATATTTTATTTTTCGAAGCAATATTTCTGATAGAAAGATTTTACAAATATTATTGTATATATTTATTTGCAATCTTTTAAAAATATTTTCGAAAATATTTTTCTGACATAATCTGGCGGACATAGAAACATTTAAAAAATATTTTTGTAAATTATTTTAATCTTTCTAAAAAATATTTTGTGCTGTATGGGTATGGATAAAATCTGCTCGGTTTTTGCTGCCAATCTGTTCTCAGGTCGAGCGCGCAGGCTCTGCTCGGTTTTTGCTGCCAATCTGCTGCCAGGTTTTATATGCAGGCTCTGCGCGGTTTTTGTTGGCAATCTGCTTACATTGCCTGTCATCAGGCTCTATCGACAGAATACGAGCTTAATGCGGACACAGATGGCTATGGTTTTGGTGTGGGATTTTGATCAAATTTGCTGCCAATCTGCGCGCATTCTGCTAACATTTTGCTATCTGGGTGTTATATCGTGAAGGCATCAACTTGCCGACAAATGCGGACTCAGTTGTACAATTCTGATAGCAACACATATTATGTTGTCGGCAACTTGCCAGCAACAATGCAGACACGTTACTATCTGGGAAACTTCTAGGGATGGTGGAGGGAACTGAAACAAATGTATTTTGTTTATAATGTGATAGTTAGAAATGCTTCCTTTTTGCTTAGGTACTGGGTAAAGGACGCTTGGTACAAAACGCTTTATTTGACTCTATTTTCAGATGAGAAAGCATTTATGACATTGTGTATACAATTACGTGTGACAATTCCAAAGAGGTGAGCAGAAATTTCTTTTCGTATTCTGTGTACTGTATTACAAGCTTATCTTTATAAAAGAAAAGAACTTCGTTCATTTTCATAAAAGTTTTGGGTTATCCAGGCCTAAAGATGAGACATATTTCAAACTGTAGGGCATCATGAGAGGATTGAAAATTTATTGGTACTAATGGCCAAAATATCCTCAATGTTAGGACTTCATCAATGTTGGTATTAAGGTGTATTCATTTTGTTATCTATGCTCATGATGTTTCCACGCTTGCAATTAACTGATTTTTTTTAATAGTTGAAATATAAAAGTATGATTCCCAGAATTCTTGTTTTTTTATCTTTTCGTAAAGATGTCTTTTTGTGTTCAAGGCACCTCCTCGTGATGACGGCGGTAACAAACAAATGTTGAATATATTGGTGTGCCCATATGATGTTGATTATATTATTATCTAGGATATGCTAAATATCTTTCTGATGATATATAGATACCTTCTAAATAGTAATGACTACTTTTCATCTTGGACAGCTCTGATAATGAGCCATTTAACGAACAAAATAACATCATTAAGAGGTCAGAACTGCTTCTAGCAGGAGTTTGAGAATCTAAAGCTATTCTTTAATACCACCATTATTATCTACAAAATTATGTATGATTGATGACTAGGCAAAGTTCTTTCTGTTCATCTCTTTGGAATTACCACACGTAATTGTACACACGGCGTTATAAATGCCTTTCTATCCAAAAATAGCTATGTCCGAGTCAAATAAAATGTTTTGGCATAACCGTTTTGTGTACCAATCATCAATCATCATCATCCTTTTTACCCAATGCCTAAGCAAAAGGGAAGTATTTCCAATTACTACTTTATAAGCAAAATATATATGTTTGTTACAGTCCCCTCTACTATTCCTAGAAGTTTGTACCGCTAGTTTTCCCATATATATACTAGGTACGAGAATTTTATTTCGTGCACCAATTATCTTTGCCAATTATCTCAGAAAGTGTTGGTTTATTGGAAAAATGTATCAGATAAAAGTGAAGGGGTTTAGAGAGGGCCAATAAACAATTTTATTAGATTTTAAGTCTGGAGTGAGTCCGTGTTGGGTTCAGTAAAGCCTAAATTAAATTTTTTACATGGAAACCCCTATTTCTTATTGTATCGTCTTTTTCTACTAATTAATTTGAACAACTTTTGTCGGAAACATTTTATTTGTCTAATATTTTTTGAGATATTCAAAGAAAACTTGGTAACCTTTTCAATATTTAGCTTACGATATCTTGACAATGGTTTGTCAGAGAGAAAAGAGGTGTAAGACTTTTTAACTTGATTTGGTCTCAAGAATATGTTGTTGCAATAGTACCCTAATTTTTTTAAATATTTGTATATATATGAAAGCTCCAAAGAGATGTACTATTTTTCCTCCGACAAACAATTATCGAGATATCAGAAGCTAAATATTGAAAGTTACCAAGTTTTCCTTGAATATCTCAAAAAGTATTAAGCAAATAAAAAAATGTTTCAGAAATTGTTCAAATTAATTAGTAGAAAAAAATGATACAATAATAAGTAGAAGTCTCCATTTAAAAAATTTGACCTGAGCCCTACTAGGTTCAACAGAGGCTCCAAACCCAAACTCTAATAAGATTGTTTATTGCTTTCTTCAAATCTTCCAACTTTTATCTAAAATATTTTTCAAATACACCAATATTTTCTGGGATAATTGGCGGAGATAATTAGCACATAAAATAAAAGTCACCCTGTGTGTGTGTGTGTGTGTGTGTGTATATACACATATAATGTCTTTTTAAAAAATATATAAATTACTTTTTGATGAGGTGCTGTATCGCTACGTTCCATGATATCATCAGGAGGTTTGCTTTCATATATTTTATAAATTTCAATAATTTTGCCTGCATCCTCCGCATTCCATGCTAACATTAGTGTCATGTCTGCCAAAATAGAAATCCTTGTTAGATGTTTCAAAACATGATGAGGGTCGGCGACATCAACCTAATAAAATAAGAAATTATAATATAAATATAAAAAAAGTGTGCAAATTAGAAACTTGCACATTGCTTCCTCATCATTACAGATCGCTATCATTGCTTCTATTTTATTTTGCTCACAAAGCTCTTCTATGAGAAAGCTTGTATTTTATTTGATGCATAATTATTAGTATTTATTAGTTTGGCTTTCTCGTAGAGGAAGCTTTATGAGCAAAATAAAATAGGAGCAATAAAATGGTAGCGATCTGTAATAATGAGGAAGCAATGTGCAAGTTTCTAATTTGCACACTTTTTTCAATTTTAAATTTAACCTTTTTATGAATTAAAAAAGGGTCAGCTTAGTAGCACAATTGGGGTTTTACAATTGACGTAATGTCAAATCGATGTTGACTTTGGGAGTTCAGGCTACATGGTCCATATATGGACTTCGTATATAGACCTTTGATCGCGTATAAAGCTGGATCTAATTAACCAAATCTTAAAGAATTATATATAAAATAGAGGTAGAAAAGACTGAAGAATATAATATCATTATAAATAGTCCGATATCTAAAAATTGGCGGAAGTTAAAGCAACCACAAACATTTCTCAAAAAATTTAACATTTTATAAAAAAAGAACCTTTTTACCGATTATCGCCAAATTCAATATCAACCTTCTTTTAATGATACTCTATATAAAAAATTACATATATAACTTATACATGTAACTTTTTAAGCAAAAATCGGTAACTCTTTCACCGATCCTTAGCAAATTCAATACTTTCCTTAAATGATATTCTATCCATCAAATAACCTACACATTTTTTAAGCAGGTATCGGTAACCCTTTCACCGATCCTCGCAAAATTCAAAACAACCTTTCTTTAATGATACTCTGTATAAAATTACATGTATATCTTATACACTTTTTAAGCAGAAATCGGTAATCTCTTCACCGATCCTCGCCAAATTCAATAACAATTTTCCTTTAATGATACTCTATCCTTCAAATAACTTAGGGTAGACCGAGGCGAATCGGATCAATATAAGTTTTAAGATAGTTTTCGTTAGTGTTTTGTTTCAAACAAGCTGTTTTATTGTGCTAATTAGTAATCCGATTCGCTTCGGTCTATCCTATACATTTTTTAGGCAGAAATCGGTAACCCTTTCATCAATCTTCGCCAAATTCAACACCAACCTACCTTTAATGATATACTCTATCCATAAAAAAAAATTAAGCTCGATGTCAAAATTTCAAAATTTGTTGAAATTAGAGTAATCATGTAGATTTTTTTTAGATAGAAATAGGTAACCCCTTTATTATTAGCAATTTTTATTAATACTATTATATTCTTCAGTTTTTTCTACCCCTATTTCATGTATAATTCTTTAAGATTTGGTTAATCAGTTCTTGAGTTATAAAAATTTTGATGGCACACACATACGGACATTTTTTAAAATTACGATTTTCCTACGTTTTAGAACATTCTGAACACATTGGCATCAAAAATTAAAAAAACAATTTTTTTTAATGAAAACAAAGCTTCCTCTAGGAGGAAGCAAAAGATCATAAGACTACTAATTTATGCCAAGTTGGAAAAATTATAATATAAATAATATAACTATATCAAATTATATTTAGTATACATATAAAGAATTATATTAATCCTCCGTACGCCTGGTTGGCTCTGAGAGACCCACTAGTACTTTTGAAGACATAACTTTGTAACCAGGAACGCTGGCGGCCTGAGTGTTTTAGAAGCTTCTGTTTACATGTTGTACTCATATCATTTTATAAGTTCATGACAATGTAAAACAAATAATACTTTCGATAAAAAATTTAATATTATTATTATACCAGGGTATACTTATTTTCAAACTTTTGGGTCTGTCAGACCCACCAGGCGCACCACGTTAAAAAATTCATCAGGCGTACGGAAAGTTAATAGTCTATTATATATTTTAATTTATATATTATAAAAAATATATATAAGTATAATGCAATATATATAAATATGTAAATTGTTGTTACATACTTGTACCAAGAGCACACGCAAGTTGTAAGCATTAGCCAACAATTTAAGTCTTTCGTGAATATAATCAGGATTCAACTGGTGATAACGGATTGATAAGAAAAGAGCACATGTAGTTTTTCCCATTACATAATCTGGCACAATGTCGGAATACTCCCATGGTACATTTGTTATATACTTCAGCAATGGATTGCCTTTCTGGAGACATTAATCCATTATAAATTTTTGAAATGTTAATTAAGTTTTATTAATTGCTTTAAATTTTATTAATAAACTTACTGTAAACAAGATATTATTAAGTTTAGTTAACACAATTTGCAAGATATTTACTTTTAAATTTATACTTTAACATTTTATAAAACATAAGAAAATGTTACCTGCTTTGGGCTGACAAAGACAATATTGGCTTTGTTTAAAACTGTTGCCAAAGAAGTTTCAGGCTTAGGAACTGAAAAATCCTTGTAAAACTCAGATTTCTTCAAGTTACTAAAAGCAGCTGAAAAAAAAAGTTTAGTTATAAGATATATAGATAAATTATACAAATAATGATAAAATGTATAATGATAAAATTATATAGATAACATTCTAGATAACTACAATCATAAAAAAGAGATTTTGCAAAATATATCTGCTATAAATTTTGATAGAATATTAGCAGAAAAATCTGTCAACAGAATATAATGGCAGATTAATTATAGAAATTAAATAGAATTTGCCATTTGATAACCACTTATATAAAACATTCCATTATAAAATTATAGATTCTGCTATTATAGTTTCTTTTTGGTAATTTTCTATCAGATTATATTGGCAAACTACTGACATGAGCTTAATACAGATGCAACTGATTAAGTGACGTGATTAACTGAATAACCGGTAATTATAAAGGAGAGGGGCTTCCTTGCCAATTTGGCTAAAACTTTGGCTAAAACTCACAATTTTGTATATTTTGGTACGTAAAACATGAAGAAAGAAGGAGAAGAAGAACGCTCCAAAGCATTTGTAGCGTCACGTTGACCGTAGCCTATAAGTTAAAATTGTCGCTTTCAATTAGGAAAAAAGTTATTAAGTACTAAAGTTGACAGTTGCGTGGTTAGAATGTTTGTCATTTATTATACTTTGTATTTATAGACTTTTCAATATGCCAATTATTTTCTGCTTTAAAAAAAGCATAATAACTCTATTTCTATTGTCTTTTTTAACCATTTAATTCAATATATATTATGGCATATTCAGGATAACAAAACTGCATATTTTCCAAAGAAAATAATAATTTATGTTTTTTGTTAAAGCAGAAAATAATGTATATTTATCTGTATATTTTCTACAGAAAATAATAATTTGTTTTTTGTTAAAACAGAGAATAGATGGACCAACTATTCTAACCAAAATACACAAAATTGTGAAGTTTCAGCCAAATTGATGAGGAAGCCCATCTCTTTCATAATTACCGAATTATATAACTTACTTTGGAAAGATGTATTTTTAGCTTGTTTTGATGAAGATACATTATCCAAATCTTCTATACTTTCTCTTGTGTTATTCATAAATTCTCTCTTTCATTACATAAATATTCCAATATATGCTTAGTTCAATCTATACTTATCTCAGATTTTAATAAAAGCATACTCAACTGATCTCCTTTTATGCAAAAACAAAACTTAAATAAGAAAAAAAAAATAATTTTGTAAACAAAATAATTTTAGGCTATTTTCCTATATAGAAGTCTACATTTATTTAAGTTATATAATAAAAGTAATTCAATGTTCTAGGTTATAACATATTCTGAACCACAGCTCTTTACAATCATAGACTTAGGAAGAGATAGATGAAGGCTGCATTCGGCGGTATCACAATTGCAGTAGCGACAGTTGAGGGCCTTGGCCATAGAAAAACTTAAGGTCTATCCATGATGTAATAAAACAAGGGGCGCGTTCAGCAGACCAAGCCGCTCAGTAGCAGTCGAACGTGATTGGCTCTTACTTTTAGAACCAACCAATCAACGCAGCGTGTTGATAAGACGAACTCAACAGTTGTGTCTGCTGAACGCGGCCAAGGTGTGTTCTTACGCAGCCATTTTTTTCAGCCAATGGCTGCGTTCAACCGAACCTCTGCTTAGCGAAGCGAAAGGTAGCAATTAATGGCGTTTTCGATTTACTACTCGACCCGACTCGGGTCGCATCAATGGACGTGGAATACACACATAGATATATGTATGTATTCCACGTCAATGATGCTAAGGTCTTGTATACATGATGCGACCCGAGTCGGTTTGAGTCGCAAATCGAAAACGCTATAAGTGTAATTGGTTGGATCCAAAGGTAAGAACCAATCACATTCAATTGCTACCTTTTGCTTCGCTAAGCCATAGAGATATAAGAATAGAGTGCGCGAGCGAGCTGAAAAAGCGATATAGGAATAGAAAGAGAAAGCTGCGCAGAATAAAAAGAGAAAGCTGCGCATGGGCCCCTTCTGTCTTTGTTTCGCATGCACGCGTAGACAAAGACAGAAAGGGCCTATATGCAGCGTTCTTTTTCTATTCCTATATCGCAGCCTCTTACGTGCTAGCATATGACTCGCGCACTCTATTCTTATATCTCTATGCGCTAAGCAGAGGTTCGGCTGAACGTAGCCAATGAACAGAGGTCCCAACTCTGCGCCATTTTCTTGCGCCAATTTTGAATACGGCTAAAGGTGGAAGCACATAAAATTGCAGGAGCCATAAGCAGAAGGCAGAAGCCATATGCGCATGCGCTATGGTATTTATAGAGCTCTACAGATACCATAGCGCATGCGCATATGCCTTCTGCCTTCTGCTTATGGCTCCTGCAATTTTATGTGCTTTCACCTTAAGTTTAAACATATATAAAGCAGACGTAAAAATAGAAAATATGTAGACGTTCGCTAACTATTGTGATGTAATATTATTATTTTTGAAAGTAAATCTGAAGGAGAGCTCCCTTCTCACCGATTTCGCTAAATTTGGGCTTAATCGACGCGTTTTTGCACAAAACGAACGAATCTAGCAGAAAAAAACTCCGCTCTGCCCCGCGAAGCGAGATATTAATTGTTAAAGTTGATAGTAATCAGGTTATGATTCTTGTCATACCGACGAGATGTAGCAACTACGAACATGCCCTGTGGCCATATGCGCATGCTCAGTGGCGCGCATGCAAGAGGTCACGTGACAACTCACTCGGTCACGTGACAACTACCTCAAGGCTCTGAAATTTCCATCAGTCGATTCAGTCGTCAGATCATCCGTAATGGCGGACATCCTTCAATAACGGGAATAATGGCGAAGGACGTCTCCTTTGTTCGTCCGTAGCGTATATGACTATGTTTCCATCGAGGGTTCAAATCGGGTCAGAGTCAGCCAAGTCAGCCAATAGCTATGCTGGTTACAATTGCAATTAGGTTAATTCCGTTATAACTAGCATAACCATTGGCTAACTGGTTGACTCTGACCCGATTTAAACCCTCGATGGAAACATACTCTATGCTGATGCAATCTAGCACCTGATGTATCAGGTTCCTCCTTTTACTTCAGCCGGAATTCCGCTGAAATCTATGCACGAAATCGCGAGCTTTGTACTAGTATAATGAGACTACGAGTCTTTCTGACTCCGCACGCGTGACTCTTACAACGACGAACAGAAACGTAATGAACGCACGCTCGCTCAAGAAGACCCGAACTTCCGTGAAGAAATCGGAAGCCAGGTAGCGCTACCACCTTGTATAGCAGCGCCAGAGAGAAACCTGAGAGAGGCCATCCCGGCATTTTTCGTCAATTTTTCTGTGTCGCATTTTCCGACGCGCCGCCTGAGAAAGTGCAACTTGTGACCGGACGGAGGGGTTTTACCGACACACTCTGTGTGAGATTCGTTATCATCGGTCGCCACTCGATTTTGTTCACTAGAAATCGAGAAAGATTTTTTCTTATCGTGCACTGACCCTTCGCTGGACCTCGCTATGTCCCTCCTTTCCTGCTTCAAGCCCGCCTGCTGGGACTGTGGACCCTCTCTGGACCTTGCTTTGTGGACCGTCTCTGGGACTGCAGTAGCGTACCACCGGATTCGTCGCCCCTCTGGACCATCGCCGGACCGCGTCTGGATCGTCCTTCGCCGGGTCGGGTAGCTCCGACAGGTAGGAATTACGGGAACGGGTAAGTCTTTCGCGTGGTGAGTCAGGCAAATGATTATGATTGTAAGTTATAGAGAGATAATTAAACAATTTATTCTTCCCGTTTCTTTACAGGTATCGGTTCCTCCCGGACTTGGACTTTTGCCGCCCGCGTACAAACGTGAGTATAATTCGTGTCCCTATCAGACTGTACAATTCTCTTTCACGCCCGTATTCCCTGATATCGCGAAACGGAGTCCCTGTCCTCCGGCTTTTCCGCCCTTTTATAGTCGAGCTCGTTTCCCTACTCTTGCCCTGGCCCCGGCCAACAATCACGTACCCGCCGCATGGGGCCTTTATATTATCGTTGTTTCGGCTCTCGCTCGCTTCCGCGTTTCAATGGTGATTGCTCGCACCTGTTCCCCTACGTACAATAGATTCGGTCCCAGCAAACGCAAAAGGATTAAAAGATATTAAAATTTTTTAATACCTTTGAATCCCTTTTTTGGCGGAATTACATGAAATTAGATGGGATTCGAAATGAGATGGTCCAATCCCATGGAATCCAAAAAAGAAATTTTCAATTCCATCCAATCCTATGGAATCCGTAAAGGTTATGGAATTGCATGGCATTAAATGGTTTAGGAAACGTCTCGCGCCTTCGTTGGGCGACCAAACGCCGTTGTTCGTTGTTCGTCGGTGAGCTTTTGTGTATGCCTAAAAGCGTCGTCTACAATGGCAGCAGGAGTATGCAGTAAGACATAAGCAGTAAGCTATTGACCAATCACAGTCGATTTTTCTTGAATTGTAAAAATCCCATTAGTCAATAACTTACTGCTTACGTCTTACTTTATCCTGCTGCCATTGTAGACGACGCTTAAGGGCATTACACGCACTATTGCCGACGGGCAATTAGCCCGAAAATGAGATTTGTAAGATCTGTCAGGCCCCGTAGGGGGTCCCTTTACATAGCGGTCGAGACGAAACTTTGAACTCGAGAAGATGCCCCGGCGATGCGACGCTTAGCGGCATCGACGCAAACTGCCGGTAATGCAGATACCGCGCGGGCGTGTACTATTGGTGGCGCGTACCGCCACAGAGTTCAACACGGACACTTTTCAATCCCTATCCTGGCATTCATTTTATTGTCAGAATAGACGGAATTCAATGGAATTCAATACGGAAATTTTTAATTCCTAGTTTGGCATTCAATGGTATTCATTTCGTTAACGAAATCAATGGTATTCAATGGAATTCATCACGAAACTTTTTAATCCCTAACTTGGCATTCAGTGGTATTCATTTCGTTAACGGAATCAATGGTATTCAATGGAATTCATCACGAAACTTTCCAATCCCTAACCTGGCATTCAGTGGTATAATATTTTTGTGTCGGAATTGGATGGGATTTAAAAAAGACAAATTCTTTCCAAAATAAGGAATTCTATGATATTGAAACTATTTCAATCCCTTTTTGGGACAGAATGGAATTCAGAAAGTTCTTAATTGAATTCCTGGCAATCCCGTTTTAATTCTTTTCAATCTTTTTTTGTTTGCTGGGGTGTACATTCCTCGGTTTTTCGGTGTTTTTCGACGTTTGCCTATTGAAATCGCTCGCACCTGCTTCCCTGCGTACAATAGATTCGGTGTACATTCCTTAGTTTTTCGGTGTTTTCGCC